ACCCAAGCATTCAACAAACCGAAACGACGAATTAATTCGGAAGGAATTAATGAGTCGACCGAGTAATATTTATTTAGACGTCGGAAATTCGAGCTTAGAGCGTCGAAACCGAGCGTCGGAAGTCGAGTCGAAAAATAGTGAAAGACGAGACGAGAAATAGTAATAAATCAACAAAAGACCAAAATACCCCTATCATCGGAATGCCCAAGCAAACCGAGTGCTAAGGGCGTATGGCCTAGCATGGTGGCTAGCATGCGCACCAATCCGAGCCTAGGCTGGCTGGTGCGTGCTAGCACACCCATGCTAGCATCGCAAGGCTAGGCGCTGCCTAGTGCGTGCTAGCATGCTAGGCACATCCTTGAGCGCGCAATGGCTAGCAAGCCATGCTGCAACAAGCTGCAGCAGCTAGCACGCTAGGCGCGCCAGCTCGCCACAGCTAGCAGCAGCATGGCTAGGCCATTGCTTGCAGCCTAGCAGCGCTGGCCAAAGCACAAGGCTAGCAGCAGCTCGCACAAGCATGCTGGGCTTGCTGGCCAGCAGCGCCTGGCAGCCCGCATGCGAGTGCTGGGCCTGCTGGGCTTGCTGGGCGTGGCTGCCACGGACAGCAACACATGGAAGCCCACCTTGGCTGCCTTGGTGCCCAAGGGTGGGTGCCATGTGGCTTGTGGTCCTTGAGTGTGTGTGGAGTGAGGTGGCTGGTTATGGGAGAGAGAGTGGAGAGAAAGTTTGGTCCCCCCCCTTCTCCAAGTGGTCCTCACCTAACCACGCACATGAGCTTGCCACTTGTTGATTTATTACTAGCTTGATTATTAATTTTATTTTAGCTTTAAAATAAAATGGAAAAATCATACTATCCCACATTGATGGGAGAGTAAATGGTACTCCCATCATTTCCTATAAATACCCAAGTATGGGCATTAGGAATGATGCTTGAGTAAGAGTTGGAAAAGGCATCACAATTAGTGAAAACCTTTGAACTCAATATAATTACTCGGGTTTTATTGGTCGGGTCTTGCTAACCCCAAGACATTGGACCTAGTCAGTTTTGTTGGTGCGGGTGGACTTCGTTGGAGGTCTCCGTGTGAGCGGGACTTGAAGCTTTCAAGTAAGAGCTCATTTTGGAGCGAAGCACGCGTCAAAGGTAATTAGGTTATCTTAATCTTGTGATTAATTTAATTATGTTTATGGTTTTATTTATTGCGAGTGTGGTCTTGTTTTTGGGTTTGTTTCCTCGGTGAGTCAGACTCACCAAACCCCAACAATTTATGCGTTAGAAAAATTTAGATCATATCTAGTTGGTTCTAAAGTTATAGTTTTTACTGATAATGCAGCACTAAAATATTTGATAGCCAAGGCGGAATCAAAGCCAAGGCTACTCCGGTGGGTTCTCTTGCTCCAAGATTTCAACATAGAAATAAAAGATAAAAAGGGAGCAGAGAACGTAGTGGCAGACCACTTGTCACGTATCAGGTATGATGAGGGTAACGGTTCTTTACCTATAGATGATTCTTTCCCTGATGACAACATGTATGCAGTTGTAGAGCATCACCCTTGGTATGCTGATTTTGCTAATTATTTAGTGGGTGGTACTCTACCTCCTGACTTGTCCTACCAACAGAAAAAGAAATTCCTTTATGATGTTAAACATTATTTTTGGGATGATCCTTTTTTGTTTCGTGAGTGTGCAAATGGATTATTTCGCAGGTGTGTTCCCGAATGGGAGGTTCACGACGTCCTTACCAGTTCTCATACTTCACCCTATGGTGGACATCATGGCCCCACTAAAACGGTGGCTAAGATTAATGAGTCAGGCTTCTTTTGGCCTACTATGTTTAAAGATGCTAACACTTTTGTGCAGGCTTGTGACTCTTGCTAGAGGGACTGGCAACATTTGGCGGAGGCATGAGATGCCCCAAACTGGGATTCTTGAAGTTGAAATATTTGATGTTTGGGGTATCGATTATATGGGGTCGTTTCCATCTTCCAATGGGAATTGCTACATACTTGTAGCCGTAGATTATGTGTCCAAGTGGGTAGAAGCCATAACTTCACCAACAAACGATTCTAAGGTAGTCATCAAGCTCTTTAAGAAGATCACATTTCTCAGGTTTGGTGTTCCACGAGCTATTATTAGTTATGGGGGTACCCACTTCCATGAAAAACAATTGGATAACCTCCTTAAGAAGTATGGCGTATATCACAGAACAGGGCTTAGTTACCACCCTCAAACTAGTGGTCAAGTTGAGGTCTCTAATAGGGAAATCAAGACGATCCTAGAAAAGGTAGTAGCTAAGTCAAGGAAAGATTGGAGTATGAAGCTTGATGACACACTTTGGGCATACCGAACAACATTTAAGACACCGATTGGTACTTCACCTTATAGACTAATTTATGGTAAGGCATGTCATCTTCCCGTAGAATTGGAGTACAAAGCCTTTTGGGCGATCAAAGAGCATTATGGATTCCAAGGCCGCGGGTAAGAAGAGACTTCTTCAACTCAATGAGTTGGATGAGTTTAGATTGTCGGCATATGATAATGTGCGGATCTACAAGGAGAAGACCAAGAAGTGGCATGACAAGAGGATCTTACCAAGAGAGTTTACACCGGGTGATAAGGTTCTTCTCTTTAATTCTAGATTGAAGATTTTCCCAGGAAAGTTGAAGTCTAGGTGGTCCGGTCCCTTCACTGTCACAAAGGTGAACAAATTTGGTTCGGTGGAGTTGGTGAATGACAAAGGTGAAGAGTTCAAGGTAAATGGCCAAAGGTTGAAAGTGTATCATGAAGGTGCTACCATTAGAGATGTGGAGGAGACTCTCCTAACTCCACTTCCAACATGAGCTTCAAGGTGGTAAGAAGGTCGTGCGGGACCTAGATAAACCAGCGCTTTGCGGGAGGCAACCCGTATTTCATGCTTTCTAGGCTAGTTTTCCTTTTCCTTATTTTTGTTTTTTTTAGAGAGGCGAGGAGAGTGATATTTCACCAGTTTTAAGTGTTGTTGTACATGTATCAATTTAACAGGTATAAAGACTTAGAAAAAATTTGAAGAAGAAAAGAAATCAGAGAAAAAGGAGTGCAGCCGAGTTGGGCTCGGGCCCGATCGGGGGAGGCTCGCCCGATCGGGCGCGCAAGCAAGGTTGAAATCGGACCTATTTTCGCCCGATCGGGCGCGCAAGCAGGGTTGAATTCAGAGGCATTTTTGCCCGATCGGGCGAAGCTTGCCCGATCGGGCGCTTTTTGTATAAAATCGAGTGAGTAGGAAAAGATATTTCGGGCAAAGCTCGCCCGATCGGGCGAGCAAAGTGGAGAATTTTGCTTCGTGTTCGCGCCCGATCGGGCGAAGCTTCGCCTCCGAAGATCAAGTTAGTAACTTGAAAGGGAATAAAGAGTACGGAAATTTAGGTGGGGATCTGCTTGGATTCCAAGCTCAGGTCTTTCTCTGATGAGAGAGAATGTAGGTGTAATAAATGATTGAATGTGTCCCCAAAGTTGGAAAATATCTCCCTATTTATAGGGTCATTGGAGAATGTGCCCCTATCTAGGTCACTTGACCTAGATTTTAGTGGGCAGCGCCGTTTTACGGCGCTTTTTGGGATTTGGGCCCTTGAAGGCCGCCATTTCAGAGATGTATCCAAGGGGGCCATGTGTCAAGAGGATATTAAGCCACGTGGGCCATCCTGAACTCGACACGTGGCCTCCTCTCATTGGTCCACGTGTCTAAGGTATTTTTACCCTAAACAATACTCTTCATGGATGAATTGTTCTTCGTTCAATTCATCTTCCATGAGCTGCTGATGTTAAATAAACTCATCCATAAGTTCATCTATGAACTCTGCCATGAGTCCCTTCCCTTTTTTATTTTCCAGGATTGTTTTTTGGTGATGAAGCGGCGGCTGGTGGTTTTTGGACGGTCTTCAACGGGGCTTATTCCTGTAATTAATGAAGCTGCATCTACTAACACAGCTTTAGGAATTAGGATTTTACTAATCTAGCTTTAGATGGATGTAATTTGCTAGGGCTGCCTATATTTTGGGAATGCTAAACTAATTTCTTATGTAATCGTACTTAAATTTATCCTCCCCCCTCCCCCTCCCCAATTCCCTTTAAACTAATCTTTTGAAAATGGGGAATTGGAAGGGATGCCCTGCTTTTATATAGGATATTTTGTTTGAATTGAATTACTAAATTTGAATTTTGGGGGAATTTGGTAAAAAGTTTGAAATTTTGGGAGGGAAACAAAGTGGGAACAAAAATTTCCCACTAGTTTCTTACACTGGTAGGAAATAAGGGTGGGAATTTCCCACTAAATTCACAAAAGTACACTAGGTCCTAAAAGTCAAAATGGGACCACAATAATTCCCTCCAATTTTACTCTCCTAATTACATACCCTTACTTTTTCTAGTTCACCCCTTAAAAGTTTTGCCTCGTCCTCCTCAATCACCCTCAAAGTTGTTTGTAAAATGGATCGGAGAAAGTATTTTAAAATAACTAATATAAAGTTGGTAGGAGGGAAACTCAATTTGTGGTATAAAATATTAAAATAATACTCCCTCCATCCCTTAGTGGCAACTGCTATATTTGGTTATCCCGTCGCGTCATTCGCTTTCATGCATGTGAAAGTAAGGTCTCCCCTTCTTCATCCGTAGTATCTCCTCGGAACGAGCCCTTTCCTAATAGTCCCATATAGTCAATTTTAAGTCTCATAATTATAATCCTTTTTCAAGTACCATTAATATTAATTTTCACCAAAATTCTCTGTAATTTGCTACAGTATTTGTGCAAATTTCAGTTTCCCATGTAAATTTTGTTTTTCTATTACTTTATTTCTTTATTTTTTGCATACCCATTGTAAATTTATCTACCAATGTACTTTTAATACTTATTTATATTTATTAATTCCCGTAAAAATTGTCCATAAGGGACTATTAAAGAACGGAGGGAAAACTTCATTTGTCTCCAAACAGAACTTGTTTTGCCGTTACTAAATTTTTCAACCCTAAATTTGAAAGTTGAGTCTTAAAACCTTATCAGAAACGAATAATGATGCATCCAAAGCCAGTAAACAATTTGAAGCCAAGTCACTAGCCCCAAAGGGACAATATGCTTTTTTTTTTCTCTTCGTTAAGATGGCACTTTACAGATTTCAAAACTCAACTATGAGACCTTTGTGAAAAGGTTAAAGATGTATCACTTATTTCCAAAGCCAGGAGACCCAAAAACCTACTTTAATGGCAAACTCTGCCAGGAAATGACCAACAGTTATCAAACCACAGTTTTTGTATAGGCTTTCGAATTCGATGTATAATTTGTCGCAATAGCTTCAATGCTGCTCTTACAAGTTGGTATTCCTTGAAAATGAGGGCAATGGCACTGCTTCTTGTGGTCGAAGGATCACAAGAACAACAAACATTCCAAGCATAGGGAGGATCACAAGCCACTTCAATAGTTTGTAGTAATACATGTGAAATGTAAGCGTGAATTCATCCGAAAAATAGAGACCATGGGAGTCCACCATTTCAATAATTACTGTACCGGTCGTCCTTACACTGACTGTTGGCAACTTCATACGATATTTTCCTGGCTTATCATACATCTGATTTTGTTTTATGCTCCTCTCTCCTTGAAAATTACCAGGAACAAGTAAGGTAACCTACATTAGTAGAGCATCATCAGGTACAGAAAACATTTATACAGGATCAAGTATACCAAAAACATAAAGATACAAATAAGAAAAGAAGCAAACTTACCGTTACATTATATGGTGCTTGTGTACCAGATGGATGTCTATAAGCATCAACAATTTCAAACTCGACCCAAAAGTTCTTCCCTTCTTCATCGCGGAAATTTCTATGTGAAGGCAAGACATAAATCCCCTCCCGGTTGAATCGACTAGCAACATTGTTCCTTCCTTGGTAAGCTGATCTCCATGACTATAACAGCAAACTAAATTAGAAAATAATAATAATAATAATAATAATAATAATAATAATAATAATAATAATAATAATAATAATAATAAAAAGCTTAAGGTACTAATTGTTAGAGTTCCAGCAATGTAAAATTCCCAGTAGCTTCAAATGTGTCTCAATATCTTCTCACCTTCAGCACATGATGCGGAGATGGAGTAGAGAAGCAAAATACATTTCCATTCATAGTTGTTACAATAAGATCAAGATCATCACCACCATCAACATTATCAGCCAAAACCATGCTGTACCTGTCATGAAACCAGTTGATGTCCTTGACGATTTAGAATATAATTATTAAATAGCAAAGATTTAGGAAACATGAAACAAGCAGTACATATAAATCTTACGAAGTTTCGCCAATATCAACAACATCTGCACAAGATGTTGGTCCATCAATGAGATATAAATAACCGTCAAATGAAGTTGTGACAATGGTGAGTCCCTTCTTTTTCTCTCCCCGTTTGCTCATATCAACAAGAAGAACCTGATTCATAATTCTTCCATTTGCTCTATAAGGATATGGACGAACATGTTTCCCATCTTTGCCACTAAGTACATATATATTTCCAGATATAGTCGGAACCACAATATCTGTATGGCCATCCCCATCCACATCACCGATAACAGGACCCTGGTTTAGAAAAGTGTCAAGACATGAGGTTTTGAATAACTCGTTCAAATCGATACCTTCAAGAACCTACAAAAGCCCAACATAAACCAAGTTTGGTAATTGCACCAGTCTTGTGCAATTAAACTGATACTGGTCATAAGATCTGGTCTTTAACCTCTTACCAGCAACCTTTAAAAATTGCCACCACAAAAAGATCAAGATCATCTCATAGACAATTCAATTCATCATCTATACCTCATTCCCCTCTGATAGTTAGCCACACCCCCGCCCCACTCAACCCACCCAAAACACAAAAAGTGGAAACAATAGAATATGTAGACCATGCTACATTTTTAAAAAAAATTCTAACACGGATACTTTTGGCATTATTTCTTATAATAAAAGCACATATCATTATAATACTATAATAAAAGCACTAATCTTATTATAGAAACACATTGGTTCCTTATTATAATAACATAAAGAACATAAAATACAACACAATAAAAGCAGATACGCAATTATTTACTCAGTTGCATGTAGATATTCATACAATCAGGTAATTAATTTAAGAAGAATAGTCTTGCTTACATAATATTTTTATCAATTTCAAACAAAGTAATGAAAAAAAAAAAAAACAAAAAACAAAAAAAACAATAGTAAACTTCATCCACTTCAAAATAACTAGCATTGTTGAGTTTTTGCAATTACTCATATTGAGTTTTATATATTTTAAGATGTAAAACAAACATTATCATGTAAGATGTTGCTACATTAATTTTAATGTACTTCATTCTTTTTAAATGCAACATTAGATATACACTAGAACTAAAGCTACTTCAATCTTGTTTTGGGATTTATACATTAGGATACACAATTAAAACATAGTCAGTCATTTGAGATCTTGTTGAATTCGTCTCGATACATAATTTCAAAATATAAACTTTATATAGTTTTTACTATAACTAAAGATTCATGTAAAAAAAGTGCGTTGACAAGTGTGAAAACCCTAACGTTGCAATTTAAAAAGCGGAGGAAGTATATTCTAATGATAGTAAAGTATGTGTAAAAAGAAAATTGATAATAAAGTTGATATAATATTTATTAATCCTTGAAAACATATGTATTGATTGAAATGTGAAAACATATTTATTTTTTAGCCCTTAAATTTTCCTTATCCCATTGTTATGTATCATTATTAATTGCAAATCAATAAATCTACTCTTAGAATTCACTTTTCTTAATTCCTGAGAAAATTTCAAAACAAGCACTAGGCAAAGGAAAAAATATATAATTACCAAGTGTTTTCTTTCATTGAGTCGATAATAGCCATATAATGTCATGAGTCATAGTTTTAGTGGCAAATCCACTTCCCTTGTTTTATGTGGTCCGTGCATTATGGCATTCTACATCTTGTACTCACTCCATCCCCAAATATAAGTCTCATTAAACTTTTGCATAAAAATCAAATATTGCTAAGGATCTAGGGTACATGTGTTATACATCTTAAAAGCACATGTTCTAAAGATATAAGCTACATATCATAAAGAGATACGTACAAACCCATCTTATTTGAAAAAAAAATAGTATATATATATATTTTTCTTTGTTTTTTACAACAATTAAAGGTATGTGTTATTATTTTATAAGGTACATGTCCAAAACCTAAAAGGTAAATGTCATTAAATTATAAGGTACATCAAGAAAAATATAAAATCTACAAAATTGGTTTTTTTTTTTTTTTTTTTTTTTTTTTTTTTTTTGTATAAAAAAAAAATTAAAGTACTAGTAAAAAGTATATAAGGTACATAAAATGTAAGTATCATTGAGCTACAAGATAAATTGCATAAAAAATGAGGACAAATAATAATATATTTTTCAAAAAGGAACATTTTATAAACAAAAAATTAGGTCAAAATAAAAACAAAGTACTTCATCCGTTCTTTTTTACTTGACCTGCTTTGACTTTTACACTATTCACCACCCCCTTCTTTGACCGTCTTTTATGAATATTGTATAAGGAAAAATATATTCATGTGGGATCTTTTTAAATTCATCTCAATGAATGCTATCATAATATATAACTTTTATTATGGAGAATTAAAGTTATTGATTATTAAAGTTTTGCATTGGCAAACGTGATAAAGGAAAAAGGTGAGAGAAAGTAGTAAATAATTTTTCTTATTTATCAAATAATAAAGTGCTAGTAAAAAATTAAGGTACTACAAAAGATAAAAGGTACATATCATTAAGCTACAAGATACATAACATTAAAAATATAACAAATACTATCTCCGTTTCATAAATTCTGCAACATACTAGAATTCACGTTTCCCAAGATAGAATTTGATAAATATAGATTAACAAAAGGGTAGATTATTTAGGGTTAATAAAAAAAGTGGGATAATTTGATTAAGCCACCCACCAACAACCAAAACCTCTGCCCCCACTATACACCCATCACACTGCCCACCCTAGCACCACCAACACCCACATTCTCCACCGATAACATCACCATCGACACATCCGACCACCCTACCACCGCCAACACCCATATACTCCAGCAGCGCGACCACCGCAGGGTCACCTTCGACACATTCGACCACCCTCTCACCACCACAAGATCCGAACCATGCCAAAAACCCACCATACCCAACTCACAAAAGCCCATCGTGTAACCACCTTCTCACGCCCCACCACAAGATCCGAAACCACCAAAAAACCACCACGTCCTCACGCACCACCACCAAGATCCGAAACCCCCACGCACCATAACCACCAAAAACCCCACCCACCTAACTACCCTGATCCAAAACCCCATCACCATTTTCGCTTAGATCTGAATTTCAAGGGGGACCGGTGACTTTGATAAGGGAAGCAAGTCCGAAACCCCATCACAATTTTCGCTTAGATCTGAATTTCAAGGAGGACCGACGACTCTGATAAAGGAAGCAAGAAGCCAGCGACTTTGATCGGGGGGAGAAAGTGTCGGTGACTGTCATGAGTAAGAGGCGGCGAGTGTCACGAGTAAGGGGCAGCGACTGTCACGAGTAAGAGGTGGCGCTGGAACTGAGTGGTGGTGGTGGAGTGTGTTGCTGGTGGTTGAGACTTTTGAGTGGGATGAGAGAGAAAAGTGTGTTGCTGGTGGTTGAGAGGGAGGAGAGAGAAATGTTGGTGATGTTGGTGATGGATGTGGGCTATGAGGAGAGAGAATATGGGTTAGGGTTTAATTATGAATAAATTAATTTAGGTTAATAAGTTAATAGGTGGTTTATTGAAGTTAAGTAAGGGTACGTTGGTAAATTCATACAAAAAAAATTACTATATTAGGAAAGTTTTTTTTGTTGCACATAATGTGTAATTTCCGTTTTTGAAAATTGTTAGCAAATTTTATGAAACGGAGGTAGTATAATAAAATAAAATTAATATTTTTAAAAATAATTAAAATTTTGATGCACTACTTTATCTTTATGACATATGTATAAAGTTAAAAGGAAACTATATTGTAGTAATAAAGTTAAAATGAGAATATTATGTAGGGAAGAGATTTTTGGATAAAATAGAATTTTAATTTGGGGGCAAAGAGAGTATATCCAATCAAAGATTAAATCTAAAATGTTTCTTTAAAAGATGGAGAACCTAAAGATAATACTACATAAAAGCCTCTCAATTCCGAAACAACCACCTATTTTGGCTTTTTGATGTCTCTCACTCATCAATAACTGACCATTTGCCAATTGGAGTTAAATTGAGGCCTACCTGAGGTATTAGACTTTTGACATGTGTTTCCCATACTTCCTTTCCTTGAGCATTCCAAGCAGCAACATTTCCATGTACATCAGAAGTCACTAATTCGATTTTTCCATCGTCATTAATATCTCCTGCCACCACAGCTCCTTGAATTTCGGCCATTTCAAGAGGGAAATTGTCTCTTACCTTACCTGGATAGATAGCAGAAAAAATAAAAAATGAACAAAAATGGCACATAGACAAGCAATTCAAACAAAAAGCTTTACAGCCAGTAACTCTCTATTTCAGGACTAAGAATCAATAATCTAGCCATGTGTGCTTTTACGTATATATGATAAACAAATTAGGTAAAGACTATAATAGACCCGGTCTACAATAACTTATTGTAGACCCAATCTTCTATTATACCATACGAATGTGATTATATTATACGAAATGTGATTATATTACTACAAAAGTGATTATATCATCCTGAAACTGTTATGTAAATGTATCACTCAAAAAGTAAATTTATCATTATAAAAGGTATCATAGTAAATTACATCAGTCAAAAGATGATTTTTAAATTTTATCATCCTAAAGATAATTATATAATTTCATTAAATGATTTACTACGAGATTATATAACTTAAAATATGACTCACAAAAAAGATAATTATATCATCTAAAAATGTGATTATATCATCCAGAATGTGATTATATTATTTGAAAGTGTCAAACTTTGGGTCTACAATAATTTATTGTAGGCCGGGTCCATACAAGACCAACTAAACAAATTATTACTCCACTTAGAAGCAAACCCTCACTGGAACATCAAAAGGGGAGCAACTTCTCTTGTGATTATTATTAATAAATACTAGTCAATCATTTGGAAAAGTCTAGCTTTAAGCATTTTGTGCAAATTGCATATCCAAAACATCATGAATCAATCATACTACCATTGCTCGTGATTGTTTAAAATTTTGTTTTAGTTAGAACTTAAAAGAAAATTTGTAATAGATTCATGCTCACAATCGCAATTTATCAAAGAAATGCATATGCTTAAGAAGAAAGATTGAGTCTTTGAAGCCAAAAGATTTCTTACAACTGTAGCTTTAGGTTACCACTTTCCATGATTCAAAAATAAAAATAAATAAACAAATAAAAATAATAAAGGAAAAATTGTCCGGAATAATCCCTCCTTTTAGCTGTCCGCTAAAAACTAATCCCACCTTTGCGTTATTTTTTAATAATCCCACCTTTAACCCCCGATCTTTTTTAATGGTCCTATTTTACCTCAAACCGGTTGAGTAGGTAAATTGTTTTAAAAAAAGTTTAATTTACACGTGTTGTTATTTAATTGCTCAAAAAAAAAAAAAAAAAAAAAAACACCACCGCCACACCAATTCAGCCACCACCATCCCCTCCATCACCCAAACCCTACAACCACCATCCCACCCAGACCCAAAACCACCGCCACCTTAAAGTTGACCACGCTGATGACCGGAATCCCACCCAGCCAACCCAACCCAACCCCAAACCCACATTAACCCAAACCAAGCCAACCTCAAAACCATTCGAAAACCCACCAAACAAAACTCGACATTAGGTTCGACGCGAAATCAAGGCAAGGGAGTTCGACGCGGCTTTAAATAGGGTATGGGGGAGGCCGGCGCCAGGGGATAGGGGAGGTCAGCGACGTCAGAATCGGGGGATGGGAGTGGTCAGCATGGTCGAAATCGCGGGGGTGGGGGGGGGGGGGGGATTCGCGCGTGGCCAGATTCTTGGGACAAGCTAGGGAGTTCGACAGCCGGATTCTAGGACAAGGGATTTCGTGCGTTATCGGATTCATGGGACAAGGGAGTTCAGCGACCGATTCCTAGGATAATGGAGTTTAGCGGCCGGATTCTAAGGGGTCGGTAGGGAGTGGCGGTAGAGTTGGTGGTTTGCTTGGTGGGTGTTTTTAAAATTAATTAATTGATTTTTTTTTAAAAAAAAAGTTTATTTTATTATTTGGACCAATCAGGTGCCAACACGTGTCAAGTAACTTGCTATAACAAGTTAATTAACCGGTTGGGACCATTTGAAGAAACTAGCATAAAAAGTGGGATTATTTAAAAATAACTCAAAGGTGGGATTATATTTCGCAGACGACCCAGAGGTCGGATTATTCCGGGCAATTTTTCCAAAAAAAAAAAAAAAAAGGTTACCACTCTCCAAAGAGAGGTCACAACTTTCCTACAAACTATCTCGCACTTTGTCTGCCTCCTCCCTTCTCATCCCTCTCTACTTATACACCATTTAAATCCCTAGGATGATTCCTAACTAGCTTTTGTCTCATGTCCATTGGTGGCAACTCTTTATATTTTGAATAATATTACTAAAAAAAATTATTATACTACCCATAATGCCCTTCTTTAGGTCAGATCATAACTTTACCAGCCACCAAAACATCCGCCTCACCCTCGAGGTAAATGGATAGTAGTAATTAATGTTCAACTTCTAGCCTCTAAGGTAATGAGTAATGCCCCCTTTGATGCCTTGTTTCCAATGCCTATAAAGCACATTGGGAGGTGGAAGTAAGGTCTGGGTGGAGTTAGTCTTTATTACTTGGGATTGAAAAATTGTAGGTTGGAAAAAATACATTGGACAATTTGGTTTAACTTTTGGGCATATAAACTGAAGGATGTTTTGGGTGGTTTTGGTGTCATAGCTTATACTTAAGTAATGAGAGTAGATAAGGAAGAATAGGGTAAGAATGGTATTGAGAAAATCGGGTGGGATGAAGTGGTCCTGAGTTTACAAAGCCCATTGGGAAGGCTCTTCTCATAAAATGAAGTGGATTACAAATAGGTTGGTGCTCTCATTCTCTCCATGAATAATTAGTTCGGCAAGCATTTCATCCCTTTAAGCTGCAGCTGACTTTTATTTAGTGATGTCTTACCTTTGGCCTTTTACCATATGGCCTCTTGCCCTCTTATGATATTTTCTGAATTTATCTTGCTCCCTGGCCAACATAAGACTGAGCAAGGTTTGTCTTATTCATTTTTTCTTCAGTCTCTCTATCTAGAACCTTCTACAAAGCTTCTTTGATGATTAACCAGGCAACCATACTTCACCAGAGTTTTTGCCGACAAAGAAGGGTGAACCACACCGGTACTGCACCAGAGTTTTATCCAAGTCTGCACCTGACCTTGCTCCTAATACGCCTTTCATGAATCCCCCTCCTCTAACCCTGGCAACAAATTCTGGTAGTTTCACCTCCATACTAATATCTTCTGGCCAAGAAACTTGGATCACCACCGGATCCACTACCATTGGCACCACCTCTCTCAAAATTCTTCAGATGATAACAGCATACCAGCGATTCCCTCACCATCGGAATCTTGATAGTCAGTGAGTTGTTTGCACCTCGTTTGTTTCTGCTACCTATTTCTCTTCCTAAACCACCCTCAAATCGGCTTGACGATCTTCTTTCTCAGTCTTCATTGTAGAAAATCCCAAATCTCTTTAAAGGTTTTCAATCGTTTTCTCTGTGAATTCCTTCATCCGTGAGAATCTCTGAAATATCTTATCATTTCCTGCTCAAATGAATGTGACTGAACCACTAGAGTTGGTCGCACCTGCCAAGGAGCCGCTGGTAACAAACCACAATGTTAAGCCACTCATTAAACGGTCATCGCCGATGTTCACATTTGAACCACTGCAACACATCTTTTGTCACATCCGATGATGGTAGCCTTCAATTTCGCCTCCTCATTCAACTGGAAAATAATAGAAGGAATCGTCTAATTGAAGAATCCAGTCTTCCAACTTCTAGTAATTTCTTCCATTAAATATTGGAAGTAGAAGCTCTCGTTGGATTCTAAGCTCTTCAACGCGATAAAGAAATGCAAAGATCTCTTTTGCTTGAGAAGCATGCAAACTCCTCTTAGATCCATCTTTACATATACTTCTTCCAGCCACCTCCATTTTATTTTTTGGCTTGCTCACTGAATCTCAGCAACCTAATCTCAAGGAAATAACTTTTTGGTACCATTTGTAATAAATAAAAAAAAAAGGGTAGTGTTGCGAAGAAAGATCGAGTATGGTTGACATTAAACCAAAAGATTTCTTAAAAAGGTACTTATGTTTCGGGGTTTTTTGTCCCTCGGGAGAGTTCAACACTAAGACTGGATCCAACAAGGGGCGCCTGTACCTGCAAAGCAAACGGACCGCCGGATGGTCGGTGGTCCGCCTCCGAAGATTAAGTTAGTAAAGTATTCAGAGTAAAACGTACGGAAATAAAGTTATGTGCTCGGATTCCAAGCTCGGGTAGGGTAAGGTGCTGTCTGAGAACGACAGCTCTAATAAATGTGGATGTGACGTGTTGTCTCGTGTTCCGTATTATGTCCCCTTAAATGAGGGAATTGTCCCTACTTATAGGGTCTTTTGGGAAAGCGCGCCCTCCCTAGGGTTTGCAGACCTAGGATTTAGGGCACGCCGCAAAACGGCGCCTCAAGGTTTGGGCCCTTGAAGGCCGCCATTTCAGAGATGATATCTGTGTCACTCATCTAAAAAGCCATTTAGGCGTCTCTTAGGGTGACACGTGTCGCCCTCCTAATGGTCCACTTTGAATCATCAAACATCCCAAATCAAGGGGATATCTGCCTACCACGTGTCACCATCTTGGAAGGTCCGAGGTGGCGCTTCTTCCAGCGACACGTGGCAGGCTCCGATTGGGCCACTTGGCCGGGTAAATACCAAAGTCAGTTGCCCCTCACAGGGGTCACGTGTTTTGCACATGACGCCTGTGACACGTCGGCCTTTGATTTTTACTGTTGGGAGAATTTAGGGTTTTAACCCCAAGGTTTTCAACCCCCCCCCCCCCAGTAAATAGAAGGGTTTGACTTCCCCTTGGATTCACATTTGCGTGAATCTTCAAGGGAATCTTGAATCTTCTGACTTTCAAAGACTTTGACCTTCCAGAGCATCCGACAGTCAGCCCCCTTAGTTCGCCTGCTTCAACAAGCGCCCAAGACCGACGACTCTCGTTACCTTCTTCTAAGGTAACCGCCTGATCTCTTTTTACTTATTTCTTTGCATTTTTTCTTTATCAAAATGGTTTTCCTAACGCACCCGACACGGCCTAAGTTAGCGATCAGCTGATCACCAGGGACGGCTGAATCTAGAACTAGGAGTGCCGAATGCTCGTTCGAGAATTTTACTTTAA